GATGGATGCATCTTCAGGTATTTTAAGATGACCTCGCAGGAGCGTCTGGTGCTAACAGTTTGAACTAGGACAAGATTTGGGCAGAGCGCCCCCTCCACCTTCATTCCATGCCTCAGCCAGTTCCACTTGAACAGAACCAGGGGAAGAGAGGGGGTCCAGAGCACCCCCAGAACCCCCAAGCATCCTAGATTCATCTGATCCCTTTCTGCCCACACCGGGCCCACAGGGTGGAGGGGGGCCCCGGGCAGAGCAGAGTCTGCAGGCAGCACGTGGAGAGCAGGGAGAGGAGCCGCCGGCGGGCTCCCTGCAAGTGGCAATTAATCAATCTGGGAAATTAGCTCCCACAAAAGGAAAGGAGAACCCAGTCAGCGGCTTTGGATCCGCGCTCTGAGGGCGCTGAGCCGGAGGCGGGCTATGAATAGAGCAGCGGCAGCGAGGTGTGCAGCGCCGGCGGCTCCAGAATGGAGGCCCTTTGGCCCCAAGGCTCCCGCCGGCCCAGGCTGGACCCGAAGGGGCTGATAGGTGAGCGCGCGAGCTGGTACAGCAGGCCTGCTGCTAAGAAGCTTCCATTCTGAGCCCAACCGTGGAAGGAAGATGCCAGTCCGGCCCTTTGCCTGCCCCCCTTTCTTCACCCAGGAACCAAGAAATACAGGCTTGTGTTTAGTTCTGGGGCAACGCATTGCCGAACCCCCAAAGCAGGCAGCTGGGAATCAACGGCAAGCCCCCATTTCCGCTCTGGGTGGGAGAAGGTGGAGAGTCCAATGGTGAGATCGGCTGAGAAGGCGTGCCTCCTGTTTCAGGAAGAAAGAATCCCCGAGACAGGCGTCAGGACACCCACCCAGCTCTCCGCGGTCCTACTGCTGAGCTCCCGCCTCTTTCACTGACCACAGAAATAAACAGCACTTTGCTTCAATGTACATCTATATACACATAGAGAAGCCCACACACTACGAACCTATGATTTGCACCTATATCTATATATATGCAGCGCTTGGGGGGACTTAAAAAGCCGAAGCAGAAGCTGAGAGCAGTACAAGCCATCGCTTGCCTCCTCACTTGCAAAGATCTTTGAAGAAGTGAGAAAAACCCACGGCGGGAAGAGGGGAGCGGTGGGCGGAGGCAGGCATCCCGCCCCGTCCCCAGTCCACGTCCTGACCTCCACCCACCACCGGAGGGTCTGCCTGGTCCCGGTCCCACGAGGCCAGCGGGCCAGGTGTGGAGGAGACGCCGCTCTGCCCAGAGATGAAGGGGCGGAAGCAGAACAGAGGTGTGAGCAGAAGTACCGGCCAGGCCATGGGTGGGGGGTGAGAGCCGAGGCCCCGGCACCCAGCACGGCGCACCCCGCCCCGGCCCTTGGCCCGCGCTCTCACTCCGGGAGCACTTCAGAGTTGTGTCGTCACAGCAGAGTGGCATGGCCGGGGTCATCGTGGTCCACGCTGTTGAGGATGGCCGTCTGGTCTTCCGGAAGCTGGCGATGGCACAAGTCTGAGAGGCGGGCAAAGGGGTCCGGCCGAGCGTGTCTCTTCTTCTTCCGGAGGCAGACAGCTTCGTCGGGCCACAGGACCTGAGAGTTTGGAAGCTGCTGAGCCTGGGAGGCAGGACCGTCTGGGGAGGTGGCACGGGCGCACAGGAGAGGCGGAAAGAAAAGAGAGTGGGTGAGAAGGAAGACCGCGGCCCTCGCACACGCACCTCGCTCACCTGCCGGGACGCATCCTCTGGGCTTCGGGCTTAAACAAAGGGGTCGCTGAGTACGCAGTCGGGGGGTGGGGGGGGGACCAGAGCAGAGAGAGAAAAACCGCCTTCCTCACCCCAGAGAGACTTGACTGGGAGGCCCATCCCACAGAACCCACGCCACGGCTGCCCCCCTCCTGCTCCCCAGAGTCAAAGAAGCAGGTGCATCTAGCCAATCCCTATTTCTATTTTATCTTTTATTTAATCTTGAATATACTTATGTAACATATTTTGTAGAATATTCCTTTTTTTCTTCTTTTTATTAAAGAAATACTACCCTGGCCAGGTGGCTCAGTTGGTTGGAGCCTTGTCCCAAACAGCAAAAGGTTGCAGGTTCTCGTCCCGGTCAGGGCATATTGCAGGGCTGGTCCCCTGTCTCTTTCTCTCTCCCTTTCTCTCTCTCTCTCTCTCTCTCTCTCTCTCTCTCTCTCTCTAAAAAATGATGAATTAAAAAACCTATCCTTAGGTAACGGTTTTTCTAAAAGGAATATTCATATGTCTTTTTTGTGCCACCTGAGTACCAGGCACCATTCTAGGTGCTGGGCTTGGGGCTTCACACATTTGTTTTCATCCCACTCACCCCCCACCCCTTCCCTTCAAGCAGCGGTGGGTTTTACATGAGAGCTCAGTCACGTGCATAGAGTCGGGCCTGGTCCTTTCTGGCGCCAGGGCCACGCCTCTGCCTTGTGGCCCTGCTGGGGATAGAGATCCAGCCCTTGTTTTCCGGAAGATTACACTTCAATGCGGGAGTGAGGAAGCCGGACAAACTGTAAGACTTAAAAACTACAGAAATCAAAGGTGCAGACCCTGCAAGTGCTACAGAAAAAGATAAACCAGGGTCCCGAGGAAGCAAATGACTGAGACACTGCTGCTCTGACAGAGAAACCCTCGCGAGCCTTGCAAAGACCCGAGGAAACGTGTTCCCGACAGAGGGATGTCACGTGGGGAAGCCCTGCGTTAGGAGCACACGTGACATGTTCCAGAGACAGGAGGAAGGCCGTCGCAGCTCACGCCGAGTGAGCAGAGAAAGCAGGGCAGGACAGGCAGGCAGGGCAGCCTAAGAAGTTCTTTTTTTTAAAAAAATACATTTTAATTGATTTCAGAGAGGAAGGGAGAGGGAGAGAGAGCTAGCAACATCAATGATGAGAGAGAATCATTGATCAGCTGCCTCCTGTACGCCCTCCCACTGGGGATCGAGCCCGCAACCCAGACATATGCCCTTGACCAGAATCAAACCCAGGACCCTTCAGTCTACAGGCTGACGCTCAATCCACTGAGCCATACCGGCTAGGGCAAGAAGTTCTAAATCTGTGCTGGTTTCAGTGGGAAGCTTCTGGAAGGTTTGAATCAGAAGTATGCGTGCATATGTGTGTGCATGCACGCATGTACGTGTGTGTGTGTGTATGCATGAGTAGGCACATGCCCATGACTAAAGGAGAGAATATGTGGTTACATTTTCTAAAGGTCACTTTGGTGGCTGTGTGTACAGTAGACTGTAGAAGGAGCCGGGCTGGAGGCAGGAGGACCCAAGAGGAGGCACTTGCCGTAGTCAAGGCGAGGGAGGAGTGTGCGTTAGAATGTGCAGTTTTAGCAGCTGAGACAGGAAATAAGTGGGGTCGGATTCAGGGTATTTTCTAAACGCTGAGCCAACAGACCTTCCCAATGGATTGGATTTAAGAGCAAGAGAAGAATCGTGGTCAAGGGGCCTGCGTGACTGGGCTGGTAGCAGTGCTATTTATGAAACTGGGGAGGAACTGAGAAAGATTTGGAGAGGATAATCAATAACTCTATTCTGGGTATTAGAAAGGCTTGTAAACTATCCAAACGCAGGCTCAGCAGGCAACTGGAAATATGAGACTTGAGCTCATGGAATAGGCCTGGGTTAAAGACATCTTTGAGAGTTTTTAATATATAAAGGAACAGGACAAGAGAACGTGGACATCTGATATGCCTTTTTTACAAACAAACAAAAAGATAGATGATAGATAGATAGATAGATAGATAGATAATAGATAGAGGTCTTAGGCTGAAATGAGCTTATAGGAGTTGAAAATTCAGCTTTGGGATCCAATCACCACCCCCGCCCCCAAACTCCAAAAACTTCATTGTCTTCTTTTTTCTGCCTCAGTATTCCCACCTATAAACTAAAAGAATAATAGCACCACCCAACGGTAAAGTGAGAAATAAATGTTCCCATTCTCCCCAGGATTCAAGAGGCCTCTGGGTAACACTTCCCCATAACCCCGTCGCTAAAGCAAGTTCCTCTACAGCAGCCATTCCAGACTGACAAGATCCTGTTCCGCCGTTTCCTCTGACAGCCTGTCACATCCCTAAAACCACCGGTACAAAGAGAGTATGGGGGAATATTAAGGAATTCTCTACATCCAAAAAGGGCTGACCTGGTTTTATGCTCTCTTAGCAGCCACCTATTAACCGCTGGAGAAACGTTGGACATAATTCGCGAGAGGTTACCTTTTACAACGCGAGATTCCCCTCTCTCCTTGAGAAAAACATGACCAACTGCAGAAGCTAGGTCCCTGCCACAACGTCCCCTGACCACAGAGCGGGACTCCGTCATTCCCACGCCCAGCTAGAAGGCCCGAAACGATAGGGAGGAAATACATACGGAGATCCGAACGTTGCAGAATGGATAAAACTCCGATACGATTTAGGTTGTTTAAAAATAGACTAACACAATACACCAGCTTTCCTAACGGTGTATGCAGAAGGGCTCTTGAAAACACACAAGCCACGGAGAGGAACGGTTCCCGGGCAGGAGGGAACAGAACTAGAAGGACAAGCGGAGATTTTAACCTTCTCTTTCCTATTCTTACATGACAATTCGATGGTGCGTTCGTTGCAAATTCGAGTTCAAGAGAAACAGAGAGTGAGAGAACTGATGGGTTCAATCCTAAAGACAACCCCAGGACGGGGGTCCCGAAGGAAACAACCCCACAATCATGGTGGGCGAGGTGGAAAGAGGGGAGAGAGGCGCTTCCCGCCATTTACCGGATCGTTTCTTTGACTTCGAAGAGCCCTTGGATGACTTTTTGGGCTTCTTTATCCGTTGGTACTTCAGAGCCTCCAGCCTCTCAGGTGCAGCGGCGTTCCCGGGGGCGGGTGGATGTGTCCTGCAGAGGGACAATCGGAGGGTGCGGGTCAGTGCCCGGATGGGGAGCCTTCGAAGCGGGGCCGGAAGAAAGCCCAAGAGCCGGCCCGTCGGACAGAGTGCGGTTCCATGGAGCCCCGGACCCACGAGGGCTCCCGGCCCCTGGCTCCCTGTTGCGCCTGGAAGGGAGAAAGGCCAGTGAGAGCTGCAGCTTCAGGGGTGCCCACCTCGGGTGGACGGGCCTGCCGAGCAATCAGAAGACCTAGGAAAGGGAGAGAGACTTTAGTAGGGAGCCCATCACACAGAATTCAAGCCGGAGGAGTGAGGTTTGGAGCCGGAAGCCGCTTCGGCGTCTGAAGTTCTGAGAAGTCATCACCATCAAGACCTTTAAGAGAAAAGTGAAAGTGCAGATTAAAGCGGGAGGTGGGCAACCCCACCCCCCATCCACTGTCCTCCTCCAGAGAAGAGAAGGCCAGCGCCAAACAAGAAACCCGCCTCCAGGCTCCTGCTCTCCACGCACGAGACTCGGGGAGAACCCCGCAGCTAACAGCACCCCGATATCGCGGCCTCCCCGGCCCTCCACGAGCTGGGCTCAGACTCCTTCAGCCGTGTGAGAGAATAAACGAAAGGGAAAAGTAGATTGCGAAGCTAAGAGGGTCCAAATCCGCAGCCTTGCAAAGCCCATGACAGCGGTAGCAAGAATCCCATGAATCTCTCTATTTTAAGATTCAGCGGAGAAACAGAGGTTGTTGGGTGAGGAGACCATGCCTCATGGCCTCTCTCTCTCCCCAGCCGAGTGGATAGTGCCATGCGCCTGGCGGACCAAACGCATGATTAGAACCAAGTCGATGATTTAAGTGACGCCCGTGCAGCCCAGGTGACGGGACCGAAGAGAGCTGGGAGGACGACTGTTGTGACCATCTGTGCACCCTGGAGAGAATTTTTTAAGAGTTGTAGAAGAAAAGCTAGAAGATGCATTATCAATGGAGTTTCTTCACAATGTGAGCCAAGCGTGGAGCCTGAGGGACAAAGTCACTCTCTTTCCCACCAGAGCCGGCATCCGCATGCGGTCGGTCGGTCGGGGAGGCCGAGACCTCCCAGGGCCACGGGGAACTGCACTCTTGCCTCAACCCCCTCAGCTCCCCCTTCCAGCTCCATCGCAACGGGTCTGCGGTAAACCCTGATGAGAAGGAGTAGGACAGACACCCTGTGACGGGGAAAGAAGTCTTCAGCGGTGAGCAAGCAGTCCGAGGCATTTTTGAAACATGAGAAGGGACGGGACGATCGCAGCTGCGCGGCCCCAACACGGGACTGTCTTTGTGGGAAGGCGGGAGAAGGAACTTACAGACGAAACGAATGTAGACACGCCTCTGGCCTCTGGGGTTTCCTGCAAGAATTGGCAGTGAAGCAACCTTCCTCTTCGCGGGTGGATGGCATCCCTCCATCGCCCTTCAGTAAATAAAGTATCAAGAAGTGCCTCCAAAGTTCAGGTCTGGAGGCGACGTCTTGGTCTTCCACGGCCCCTGACAGCACAGGGCTGAGGAGCCCCGCCCTCCACGCGCACAAAGGCACTCGGTCCAGCTCACCATGAGAAGGCAGGTCTCCCACCCCAAACACCCAACCCGCCAATCCCCCATTCCTTCCTCCTTCCCCAGCTCCGCAGTCTACCCACAGAGACCCTCACGGCAGCAGCTGGAAGGGAAGGGGGAGGCGGGCACAGGGTGGAGATGGCCACGGCAGGAGGGGCAGGACGCTCCAATGCTGGTGGGGTGTCCTCACCCCTTCTCAGTCTTGACTAAGGTGTCTGCATGGAAGGAAGCTCACAGGTACACCTGCTGTGCGGTCTGCCTGTCTCCAGGGCCCCCGCACAGTGAGTGATGCGTGGTCTGCGTAGCAAGTGGGCCCAGGAAACATCACCGTCAGGGCTCGAGAGACTCTACAAAGTCTATGGATTCTCCAAGCCAAGTGACACCTCCAGGGATGTTTTCATTATTACGATCCACAAATTGTCACTATTCCCGTGTTTTATCACATAGCATCCATTTACCACTTACCAGGCCTGGCAGTAACCTACGTTCTCTACAGCAATGTTCTTTCATCCTTACAACAACCCTTCGGGGTAAACACTACACAGTGGCCCCATTTTTCAGAGGGAGAAACTGAGGTGTGAGGCCAGGTAGCTGGTCCAATTACCCAGTGACTACAGTATGTGACAGAGCCAAGATTCTCAATACCAGGCGACCCTATTTTTCAAAACTCTTCCTAATAAAGCGGGTGGAGAAGTCACCCGCAAAGAAAAGTCCTGCTTCCACGTGTCATTTGAGAAATCAGCCGGCCAGAAGGAACTCGCTGGGGTCGTCACTGACAGTCTCAGCAGTGGGGGCAGAGCCGGGCTGAGACACACCTGGGGTGGGGCAACACTGGCTGCTCCGGGCAAAAACTCCCAAACAATCCTGATCCGCTGAGGAGGATAAGCTCATTTTCTCTTGGGAAACAGCCAAGCTTGGGCCCTGCCAGGACACCGGCTGGTCACCTGTTCCCACTTTGAGCTCAGCCCTCAAACACAGAACCACGACAGAAGGCTCCTGGAGGCACCAAGACACTCTCCCGAGGCAGAAAAAACCCACAACCAAGAGTCTAGGGGGACAGTACAGAGGGAGGGTGAGAGGAGGGCAAAATGGGTCTTTATTTTTAGCGAATTACACAGAAAAGATATGTGACATGTGCTCCAACCAGCTTCGTCCGCCACCTGCCAAGCCCTTTGGAATCAAATCGCCTCCCTTTTCTAGGTGGGTGACCACGTCCCCGTCAAGGTCGAGCTCACCTGGGGCACTTCCAGGTCATGAGGCCCAGGGCGCTGGTGCCTCTCGGACTTAGGAAGCTTGGGTTAAGCAACTCCATCTATAAAAGTGGCGAGTGCACGTGAGGTTGGCTTGCAGGTTCCCTAACAGGACAGAATCCAGCCCTGGGCTCTCCGGGAAGCTGAGCTCCCAGTTTCCTTCCTGACCAGTCCCTTCTGCTCAAGCGTCCAGGAACCCGCAACTCTGGGTGCTCCGTCTCCCAAGGAGTAGGCCCGTTACTGAACGGCGGAGGCTCGGGCTCAGGGATTCTCCTGGATCTGCCGTGTCGCCTTCCCCAGACACTGCCAATAGCATTTCTCTGCAGGTCAGAACTACCCAAAATTGCCTGGAATTGACTTGATACCTCTCTCTCTCTCTCTCTCTCTCTCTCTCTCTCTCTCTCTCTCAAAAAAGAAAAATCAAACACACACACACACACAAAACACGTGGAAGCACAAATCTGGGTATTTAATTCAGAGAAAAACGATTAAGTCAGCAAAGAGCCCCCAAATATCACAGTTGGGTTGATGTGTAACCTGTATAAAGAAGGTGTCAGCAAACTTCTCTGTTACATACAGATTGGAAATAAAGTTCGTTTTTTAGATCATATGTATCAGAGCTCCTCAATTCTACTGCTGTCTTACAAAAACAGCCATTGATAATGCCTAAATGAGTGAGCAAGTCTGTGACACAGTAAAATATTATTTAAAAAAAAAACTCTCTCTCTCTCTCTCTCTCTCTCTCTCTCTCTCTCCATAAAATCCATACAAAATCCAAATCATGACCATTTAGCTAAGCTTCCCTTAGCTGCTTAGCTCTATGCTGGCCCAGAGGAGTGGAGAAAAAGACCTCCTGGTTCAAATGTAGGCAGACACAGGGCAGGAAAGCCAAAATCCAAATCCATTAAGGATATTTCCTGCCCTTCATGCCCACAGAGCGGACCCTGAAGACACCATTCTCAGCGACCCCTCCAGTCACCAGGCAGACGCACCATTTAAAGAGCACTTGCCTCCTCCTTCCTAACTGCCCGAGAGCGGGCTCGGCGTGTCTGGTTGGACCCTGCGGTTGGCGGGCTGAGGGAATCCACACCCGTACACGGTGTAGCCAAGGAAAAGGCAGGACTATGATCCACGTACTGGTACGAAGCAGAAAGCCAGGCGCCTGGCTGGCAGCTGCTCCGCTCTCTGCCCACAGATGGTCCGTTTCTAGAGGGATCGGGGCACCCGCCAAGTGCTTGGCCTCCCAAGTCAGAAGCTTGTTCCAAATGGGAGCGCCTTCCCAGGGCTCCCCTCGGAAAAGGGGATCCCCCCTCCACGCTCCCAGACCCACCTGCACGTGCAATGGAGGCCAAAGTCGGTATTAACGGGAAAGGGGATCAGAGGGAGCTCTGAGGATAGGGGTGCGACGACCGGTCCCCATCGGGGAGCTGAGAAAACCCCTCAGCCTCCCAGCCATTCACAGAAGAACAGTCCACAGATACCCCGTGTTGAGAGGGGGTTGGGAAGAGGAGGAAAAGGGAGAGGGGAGAGGAGGAGGGGAGGTGGGAGACACCTGCAGGTGTGGGGAGAAGGAACAGGGAAGCGACTGGAGGAAACAGAGCGAGAACGGACGTAGACAAGACGTGTCACATCTCCAAGCAAGACCGAGTGGAGACACATGCAAAGGCGCAGCGTGAGGACAGCGTCTGACGAGGAGCCTGCGCCTCCCAATGGCCCACAGCGACCGCACCCAGGAAGCCCGCAGCAAGCAGGAGGCGTGGCGGCTCCCGCAGCCCAGCGCCTGCAGCCCAGCACCGTCAAGGTCTAACTCCAAGGCTGTGGGAGGTCCGACTCCCCTGGGAGAGGGTGCGAGCCAGGCTCCAGGGAGCCATGCTCTCTCGTGTGGCCCCTGGTTGCTAGGTTTGCTGGGCAGTGAGCGTAGAGTAGTTCAGCTCTCTCAGATCTGACACGGAGGGAACCATGGGGGCGCAGGGCCCCCAACAGCTGGGGGAGGGGCGGGGCAGGAGTAATGAGGATGGGGTCCAGCACTTTCCAGGAGTGGGGTGAGAGCTGGTCCTGGAGCTGTGACCCCTCGGGGGTGGGGGTGACCGCGGGGCCATCACTGGGCCGCAGGGAGGGAGAGCAGGAAATGGAGGACAGCCCAGTCACTGCCACTCTGAGCGACCCCCCTCAGGCCACGGAGGCCCTAGCGTAGGGGAGCTCACAGGACCGCCTGGCCCTGCACATCCTCCCAGTGCGCACGGTGGCCGAAGTGGGCCCCGGCTGGCCGCACGCCACACACCGCCCCAGGGCCTCCTGGCTGCTGGCACTTTTTTAGCTGCAGGTTGTAAAGAAATGGCTCAGCATCCTCACCCCGGGACGCCTTTCTGACGAATGCAAACGTTGTATAGTCCCCAGTTAGCATGGCCAGCTCCCCCTGGACCTGTCAGGTGGCAATGGGAGGCCCAGCTTCCACCTGAGGAAGCCGGGGCGCCAGAGGGGCCTACGCACTCCCGTCCATGGCAAAAAGAAGCATCTCCCTAGTTACCCCAAAGCAAGCCTTGCGTAACCCTAACAGCCTTTTTAAGAGACTTGATACCCCTCTGCATGCCCAGTTCCTAAGACACACCCGCTCCCCCCCGGAAGGAGCCACCCCGGGGGGGGCGGGGCAGCGAGGAGGAGTGCAGGCCCCCATCCCGGGCGAGTGTGTGTCTCCTGCCACCTCAACCCCCTGCCTGGGAAACCTGTCCTCGCCTCTTCCGAGCTCCCCTGGACTCCCTGCAGCTATAACTCAAGGGTCAGGAGTGGTTGCCACAGGGACCCCGAGAGCCATGTGACCCTAAGGGCAAGGTCCACAGCCCAGCCTGGCAACAGCCAAGGGCGAGCAGCAGAATGCAAGGAGCGTGGACATGGGGACGTTTCCCGGCCCCACCCTCAGAGGACCCCGGTGGCCTGGTCCTAAGAAGGACCCCGTCGGTGGCCAAGGGAAGGAGCTGGGCCGCACCCCAGCCCTGTGCTCCCTGATGGGACCAAATATTTGTAAGACCCCAGGAAGACAGCAAGGGGCAGCCACACCAGAAAAGGTCTGAGTTTGGGGGTCCCGAGGGAAAGGGGTGCTCTACCTGAGGCTGCTGGGAAAACGGGGCAGAGAGAAGGTGGGTGTTCCTGGTACCAGTGTGGCCCCAGACAGATGGTCAAGGGTACGGAGAGGCCAAGCAGGTCTTAGGCACTGTGGGTCCCTCAGGTGCATGCAGGGCCCCGAGGGACCTCCGGGGCAGCTCTGAGTGTGTGGGCAGCGGAATGGCAAGGTGTCTGAGTAAGGAGACTGCAGGGCGGCTCTGGGAGAGAGCTTGACATGTGGGGCGGGCGGGGCGAGAAGCTGCAGCGAGGCAGTGCCCGAGCGTGGCCTGGGGGGGCTGTTGGAGCAGCGTGATGGGGGGAACCCAGAAGCCGTGGGATTCAGGGAGCAGAGGCTGCCGCCCCCACGGAGGGGGTGAAGGGACATGGTCCGGATTCCCCTGTAGAGGAAGCGATGGCCCTGCCGAAGCCCCGCCCCCCTGTCCGCCCCCCGCCCCCCGGCCGCGGAGCTCCCTTACCTATTGAGCTGAAGAGAGGCTTGTCTCGACAACACTGCCCAGATAGCTGAGATCAATCAGAAACAAAGCAGTTATCAACACGGGCCGCGGGCAACCACCCACGCACACCCAGAGGGGAGGAGGGGGGAGCACGGGGACCAGAGAACCGACAAGGAGGCCAGAGAATGGGGCGAGGGAAGGAGAGGAGAGAGACAGAGAGCCAGACCAACGATGGGACAGAACAGATGAGCGCGCTGCAGAGCGGACGACACGGCTGCGCCCACAGCATCTACGGCAGACACCACGGGCACCACGCCACCACGCCCCCCGCCTGGAGGTGGGAGGGGAGGCCTGTACCTCCAGGGACCAGACAGGGTGGGAGTGAGTGGGGCAAGGGAAGGGCTCTGGGCTCCTCCTCGACCGCCACCCATCCTGCCTACCACCCGGCCAGCTCCTCTGGAGCTGGGCGCCCCGCACAGGCGGCCACACTAAGACTCAACTTTAAAACTGAATATTTGCAAAGACAAGAAAGTCCAGTTGCAGATGTCCTCTGCCTTCTTCTGAAGACAAGGACTTTGATCTACTGATTTGATTTCTCCAGTGAAGTAAAGTTCACAGGAGAGAAGGTGGCCAGATTTTATATTCTACGAAAGGACTAGGATTTTGAAAGAATTATCTAAAGTGAACCAGAATTCAAAAAAAAGGAGAGAGCTAGGGAGGAGGAGGAAGAGGAGAAAGAAGAGGGAGAGGAGGAGGAGGAAGAGGAGGAGGAGGAGGAGGAGGAGGAGGAGAAAGACAGAGAAAGGCACAGACAGGCGTCCAGGCTGACTGGTACCTGGAACACCAGCTGTTTAGAGTGTGCTCTCTCGGGCAGGCTGACCGCAGGAGCTTGTCTGTCTGTCTGTCTGTCTGCAGCTTCCTACGAGGCACACAGGTTGGGGTGGGGCGTGTGGTTCCAGACCCCTGATTCACAGCCTGAGATCTGGCCCCCAGCCTCCAGGATATGTCCCCCCACACCCCTCGGGAGAGGCCGTGGGAGGGGCCCGGGGCTCACTAGGCCACTACGGGCAGGGTTGGGAAGAGGGGCGCCCCTGGCCTGGGGGTCCAGGGAGGCCAGGCTTCAGGGTCCTGCCAAGCAAGGGGGAGGGCCTGGGAAGCAAAGGAGCCTGGATGCGAGGTCTCCGGGCAAACCCTGCACCGCCCCCACAGCCAGGATCCCAGGGACCTGGTGAGCTCTCCACTCCACCAGGAACTGGAGTGACCATCCCTGGGGCATGCCACGCCCCTCCCCGGGCCCATGTGTGCCCACTCCTGAGGGCCCTGGGCTGGATGGAAAAGATCCCTGCTGCTCCTGGCAAGGTACCTGGGCAGGTAAACCCCACCCGACCCCAACTGACCACACCCTGCTGATGCCAAGACCAGAACTCCCCCACAGGGAGGCTGCAGCGATTCCAGACAAGCCCTGTCATTCTGGTTGATGGACGGGTGGAGGGTGGAGTGAGGGAGGGGGGCAGGAAAATGACCGGGGACAGGTGGGCGGGAGAAAGCAGCTCACACTCACCCTGAAGTAGGTAACTGTGGTGGGGGGGGCTCTGGTCTGAGCAGCTCCTCCCCCATCCTTCGAGGGGAAGGCGTCTGTCCAAACACATCCAAGTTGTCCGCAGGCCCCACGGGGCCCAGAGGAGGGGAGGGGTAGCCCGTGGCCAGAGTGGTGAAGCCCACGGCGGGCCGGTAGCTGGGGCTCCCGCTGCGGCTGCTCTGGGAGGGGGAGCCCGTGGACGGCGTGGACTTGCAGGAGAAGCTGACGGCGGCCGGCGGCTGGAGGGTGATCTCAGACATCTCGGCCTGCTGCAGGAGGCCGGGGCGAGGCCGGGCCCGGGCGGCCAGCTCCGGGGAGCCGGTGCGGGAGCTGAGGGGGCTTTGGGTCAGAGGCGAGAGCCGGGAGGGCTGTAGCACCACTTGATGTAAACT